TCTGTGCAATGTGTGTTTATTTTTTAAAATGACGTCATTACAAATCAGTATAGTTTAGACCGAGATTCAGTAATATACGTATGGTTACCTTCATAAATGGTCTTATTTAAAAAATAAAAATAAGTCAGGTTTTTGCCCCCCCCTCCTGAAAAATGTTCTATGAACGCCCTTGAGAGCAACTATTAATAAAATTGGAATTATTAAATTCGGAATCATTTTCAGTTTGGATTGATCTAATCTTAGGTATACGGCAAGCTATAGCCCAATGCCCTTGTTTCTTGCAGGATCTCCAAGTGGATCGATTTGCTGGACAGTTTCTTCTCAGATGAAACCCGAATCCACAATATTGGCATCTTTTTCCGGCACTGTTTCCATATTTCCCTCCAATAAGAGATAAAGCGTGGTAATTAGCAACACCGTTTTGCGACCGCTCTAACGACGACTCTCGTGATTTCAACTCAGCAACTGCGGACGCTGCATCTATGCTAATCATGCGGCTAGCGAAAGAATGTTGAATTTCTTTGCTTTTGCCGGCTTGCAGCTCAGCTTGCTTAGCTTCCATAGTGCACGCACATAGAGTTAGTGCTGGCTTCAACTTTAATCTTTCGCTTGTTTTTCTATAGAGCATTCCCACAACAATTATGTCTCTAATTAATTCCTCTTTCAACGCACCAAACTGACAATGTTCGGCTGTAGATTAGATTAGATTAGATTAATATTGGGGTGTTGTTGCACTGCGACCTAAAGATCTATTGTGCCCCCTGCTGACGCCGATTTGATGTAGATCTCAAATCATAGTACTTCGTCCAGTCCTATGGCCTTGATGAGGGCTAGTAACTGGTACGGTATCAAAGATGGTATGTCTCCTTCTAAAACTACACAGTCCCCGAGATGTGTAGCCCGGCTTCTGGCGACGGCTTCGCATACGGTTAGTAGGTGTTCTGGAGTTTCTTCCTCCTCCCCGCAAAACCTGCATTCACTGGATCTCTTGGGTAGCATTTTCCTGCGGTGTTCTCGAAGGTGGCAGTGCCCTGTCATAAACCCTGTAAGAATTCTTAGTTTAGTTTTACTTAAATTTACTAGAGCTTTAGATTTTTTGGGATTGAAGTTTCCAAGGAATATCTTAGTGTCTCAGTCCCGGAAGGTCGTCCCAGAGGCAAGCTCTTAGGTCGTCTTCCATTTTCTTAAGCTCCGCTGTATAAGTGTTTTTACCTATACCGCAAAAGGGCTCCGGTCCTACAAACGGGGAACTGGATCATTTCTTTGCCAAGGTATTGGCTTCTTCGTTACCTTCTACTCCTGTGTGTCCAGGCACCCATGTAATGTGACTTTATTTTTCTTTCCTACCTCATTTAGTTTTCCTAGGCAATCCCGTACTATCTTAAAACTGATGACATATGAACTCAGTGCCATTATGGCCGATTGACTGTCGGTGAATATTGCAATATCTTGCTTGAGATAGTTCCTGTTCAGGATCATTTGAGCACATCTGTCAATGGCGTGTATTTCCGCCTGAAAGACACTGGTGTATTTACCCAGTGACTCAAAATATTTGGTGCGAGGCCCAAATACTCCAGCTCCTGATCCTTTGTCGGTTTTCGAACCGTCTGTGTACCATTTAATGGTGTTTTCTTTGAGAGATTCGGTGATCTTGCCGCTTTCCCAGTCGCTTTTATTATCATTCCTTGTGAGGAAGTTTCTCTCAAAGTGGTATTCTTTGGTTATATCGTCTTTAGGAAGATCGAATAAGGGAATACACCGTGTCTGGGATGACCATGCTCATAGATCGATGATGTCCCTAGCCTCGGTCCTATTTTTAGCTAGTCTAAACATAGCCCTTTCTGCAGCTCCCTTCACCGACAAGTGCAAAGGTGTGAGGTCAAGTGTGACGTTCAACGCTGCTGTTGGACATGTACTCCTGTAAAACATACACTTGCCAGTATTTGCAATTTATCAAGTGCTCGCCTTGTAGTGCTTTGTTCTGCTATGCCATACCAAAGTGCTGTCATATGTGATTACGGGTTTAACCATCATAATGTACATCCACCGCAGTATTTTTGGTGTACATCCCCAATTTTTACCCGCCAAGTTTCTGCACACCATAATGGCTTTAGTAGCTTTGTTAACAATGGGTTCTAGGTGTTTTTTCCATAGAAGTTTACTATCCAGTGTTACGCCCAGATATTTGACTTCGTTTGCTTGATTTACAACCTCTCCACTTAGGTGAATTTCCCTAGTAAGTTGTATTTTCCTTCTACGTGTAAATGGTATAATAGTGGTTTTTATGCTCAGCCCCACCGATGTGCAACATTCTTCGGTAGTACTTAGGCCTTTTTATATGAGGTCGTATAGTGTGCCCTCAAACTTGCCTTTGGCAATAATGACAATATCATCGGCGTAACCTATAAAAGTTAGACCCTGATTTGTCAGTCTGAACAGGAGTTCATCAACTACCAGGCTCCACAACAGGGGTGAGGTACCACGAGTGGTTCTTATGCTTGTGGTTTCTTCACCCACAGTTGTCTCAGCTGTTCTCGTAGTCAGCATTTTACAGACCCACCGGACTATGGTTTTATTCACTCCTCTCCTTTCCAGAGCAATTTTTACCGCCCCATGGGACGTGTTATCAAAAGCCCCGGATATATCCAGGAAGGCACATATGGCTGTTTCTTTTTCCTTAAGGGTTTTTTGGATGATTTCTGTAAGTTGATAGAGCCCTGTCTCTGTCGATCTGCCTGCTCTGTATGCATGTTGGCACGAGTGTAGAGGTGCCTTCTCCAAAATTTCCTTTCTGATGTAGTTATCTACAGCTTTTTCTATCGTCTTTAGTACAAAGGACTTAAGACTAATAGGTCGAAAAGATTTAGGGTTTGTCCCATCCTTTTTTCCTATTTTGGGTATGAAGGTTACTTTAGCTCGTCGCCAGATACTCGGTATATATCCCGAGGCTAAACTAGTTCTAGCTATTCTAAGTAGGTGAGGGAATATTTCCTTTTGCCCTTTTTGTAAAAGGGCAGGAAATATTCCGTCCACTCTTGGTAACTTAAACGGTTGAAAGGTACTTATTGCCCATTTCATCCGTTCCGCAGTAAAAACCCTCTTTGCAGTTTCCCAGTCCTCCTTCTTCGGTTTACTGGTGTCGACTACCGTGGTTATTTCTACTGGTACGCTACCTGGAAAGTGTGTTTGAAGTAATAGGATGGCCTGCTCCTCTTCTCCTTTCGTGTAGGTGCCGTCCGGCTTTTTGAGGGCCATCACTGGATTTGTTCCTGCTTTGGCCATGGCCTTGCAGCCGTTGGAGTGTCAGCAATTTCCTCACAAAAGGTTCTGAAATGTTGCCTTTTGGCTTTTCTTATCTCTTTGTTATACAGAGTAAGCACTTCTGCAAAGAATGTAAGGCAGTTATGAAATTTTCAATGGTTTCACTCGGTAACTGAATCCGCGTATTAAACTTATACCATTCAAAAATAATATTGCGTCGCGGAATAAAATGAGTTTCGAATTCCGTCAGCGTTTGTGCGAAAGTCGTTGGAATATTTTGGAATTGCAATAATACCTCTTCCGATTCTTCTCCTAAAACATATATTAGTGTGTTGATTTTCTCATCGTCTGATTTAATATTCTGTTCAGGGGTCCTATTTTCGAATACGAAATTTGATACGATTTAGAATGCTCCCCATTTAACTTACATTGCTGTCAGTCAAATTTTGTGTACGAAATTTACTCGAAAGGTTTCGAAAATAGCACCCCAGAGACAGAAAGGAAACGTTCGAAACGTTTACGCCATTGCGGCCATGCCGCTGGATTGGGAAAATCAAATTTACTTGGTGGAGACACCGGTACTGATATTTACTGAGCCATTGAGATGGTTGTATATAGCTGTTGTAGTTGTCATATTTGCTGTTGTAGCCATCTTGATTGCTGATTAGAATTATTTTTCAAACAATGCACTACCGTATTAACTGGTGAAACGGATGCAAAATTTACGGACTACACTCGCGAACTGTAGCAGCAAATACACTTTTTTTACGAGAAACCGACGTATTCCACCGCTGCCACCTGCCACCATGTATAATAATTATTATCTCGATATTAAACTAAACTCTTAGAAATAACTTTACAAGGCAAGTTATTAAAATCTAAAATTAAAAATAAATTCTCACTGCCAAACTCTCACGATCAGGAATCTGCTGGTAGAAAACGGAAAGGTTTATTAGCCTATCCAAAACAAAAGGTTTGTGTGCCTCTTGGCGGACATTTTAATTTAAGTTTGACAGCACCTTGAATAGCCAGCCTATCCAAAATACGTGACTTTGACAAGCAAAAAAAGGGTTTGTGCGCCTCTTGGCGGACATTTTAATTTAAGTTTGACAGCATCTTGGATAGTCTAATTGAAAACCTCCATAAATGAGGTTAGTAATAAAAGGTATGTTTCTGCAGAAATCACAACTAATTTCTGATGCTTGTCAGTCTGAGTAGGTATTCACCAGACAAACTAAACCAACTAAAAGGAGTTAACAGAACTGGTACTTAAGGAGAGAAATAATGCAAAACTAGTAATGATGCAAGATCTCACTGAAGACAATAGCAGTAAATTTAGACAACTAAAAAGATAGGCTAATAAACTACCTACTTAGAAAGAAAAAAGCGAACAACAAGATCAGGAGTTGCAGGAGCGGGAAGTCGATGATAGGAACAATACCAGGAAATTCTATAAGATAATAGGAACAAGAAAAAATGGTTTGAGATTCAGATCCAACAACATCATCAAGGATGTCAACGGAGATCTAGTAACCAGGCAAGATCAAATGCTGCAAACATGTAAAGAGTACTTTGAACAACTACTCAACCAAGGTTATACAAAACCCACCAGCTTCCAAACTGCAGAAAAGCGAGACGAATACCCCCTCGAATGAAAATTGAGGTTCCTACATTGGTTAATAAAACGCCTATTGAATATTCACTGAGCAAACATGTTGACAGAATAAAAAAAAACAAAATTAGGAAGAAATGAAAAATAATTTTATTTGAAAAATAAACAATCATTTCGTACAAAAGAAACTTTACTTAATATCAAAAATAAACGAATACTATCAGTCGAGTTCTTTTTTCGGAACTAAATAGTTTGTTACAGTACTAGTTGGTTCAGCGCGATTGTTCAAACTTTTACTGGTACTTGGGCCTTCATTGGGCAAAGAATTTCGTTGCTCCAGCTCAGAGATCAGTTGCATAATTCGAATTTTACCCTCGTTGCACAAATCCATTCTTAAACTTTTCAATGATAAAGCCACGCTTTTGCAAAAAACATCTACAGGATGCCGATCGTCAAAATTATTTTGCTCGCTAATGGGTTCTTCTTTAATATTTACTTCTTCAATATTATGTGTAGACTGACTACTATCATCATCATCATCGTCTTTAATCATTATTGTTTCGGCTTCTTGCAAGGAGCCGTTGTCTGGAACATATTCTGGGATGTCAATTTCGTGTTTGATGATGTCAATTACGGAATCCGAATCCGACATGTTCTCATCTGATTGGCATTGAAGGTACCTGGAATAATAAAGTGGGGGAAATCGCATTAAAATCAATTTGTTAAATGGTTTACTTAATGATTAAAAAAATTAGTTTAACAAAATTTCATTTAACCCGATTGACTATTTTATTATTGCTTATATGTCTGTTTGTGGTAGAGGTATTGGTTTTGATTTGCTTTTATTTCATCCTAGCAAATATCTCGTGATTTTCTAATAAAGTTTCAGATCTCCAAATCTTCTTACATAAGTTGAAAATTGAATTTCGCATAATTGAAGGACTGATCACTTCTTACTTGTAGAAAGTTTTAACAGACATTTAACACTTACCTAGAAGCTCCGCGATCATCTCTCGCCATTTCTATGAGTTTACTGGAATCACTAGTTGAATCATCCTCGTAACTGTCAATGTTCGTTCTTCTACGTTTGTTAACTAGAAAAGAAATAAATTAACTGAATTGAAATGTAGCAAATAGGAACAATGAAGGATGTAAATGATTTTTTATATAAATGGTAGATTATTCAAGAAACTCTCGAAACTTTTTAGACATACACCTATATTTATTACCTTATTCTTGTCCCATAAAAAAAAAAACACATACACATTCCTTGGTATATCCAATTTATTCAGAGCAGTGAACATTGAAAGGAAAACTATTATATCCGAAAGAAATAATTTGATTCATAATCATTTATTGAGTAGTAGTATGGCTGAAAAAAGCCGTGTCAGCTCTGAATGTATTCATTAGTATATTTATTTTTTCCTAGAAGTTCCGCCAATACTACAGGTATACAGATATTATTTGCATACGCGTGAATAGTAGATATTTGTAGAAAGAATTTTGCACAAAGTTCCAACTAAACATATTCTTTTTTGGGAACATATAAGTGTGATGTTTGAGGTATAGGAAAATACACATAACCATATTACTTTCCATATCGTTAATAAGCAAAAACGGTTCACCCTTACTTGTATTTATGTCCATTTGCACTAGAGCACTTTGTAGTTCTTCTGGCGACTTCAGTAATTTCTGCCTTTGTTGCAGTCTAGCACGATAAAGATTATTGCGGATATATTGGATATCTTTCATGGAAATAACATCAATAATTGAAGAGCTTTGGGCCTTCAGTTCTCTTCGTATCAACTTTAGTGGTCTCTCACTGCATATTTCTTCAGCTTTTCTCTTTAGGGAGTTACTAATTTTTTGGCGAATCAATGATGTTTCTTCCATCTGATGATTATGTTTCAGACTTTTTCGCGAAAAGAAGGAATTTAAAATATACATTTTTGCGTTGCAATTTTTCCTTGTGCAACACCACACTTCCTCTTGTGTCGTTTTTAATACGCGGTATTTACGAAACTTATAATTTTCAAAAACCATGAGCGGATGCCCTTTTTTACTTAACATTCTTTCGAACTCCATAATCGACTTGCTACGATGCTAATAGATGTTAAACTAAAAATATTTTCTAATAATAATGAGGGAGGTATCAAAGTGGGCCATAAAATATGGTTCCGACCGCAATTCGGCTAAAGCATTGCAGATAAAATCCACCTCGTTAACATAAACGTACCTGTTTCGGTTTTGCACGCAATTATTATTCCAGTGGACTCAAATAAAGATAGAGTTAAATGACTAGGTACATAAACAAATTTTAACCCCAACTTTATGAACCGTGAAGAAGGTATATTTCGAGAACTTCCGCTGGAAGCCTCCCATACACTAAAGGTGATTTACTTCACACAATTCCACTAGAATTACATGGATCAGTTTAGTGTTCATCACAGTCACTTATTGAGTAGAAATATTTTCACACGATTAAAGCATAAACACGGTTGTGTTAATTATAATTTATAGAAAAATATAAACAATAAATTATCATAACCTGGTAAGTTGACAAATTCTGCGGTGACTTCGTCAAATTTTGGTGGACCGCAGAAAATTGTTGGCACGGCTTCCGGCAAGAGTCGTGTACCTCTCGAAGTTGAGTACACGGAACCTTGAACAAAATGATCCTCGCACAATTTATAATTTATGAAGTTTTTCTCTAGAAGATCCTCTCTGCCAGCGGCCTTGAGCCATATGGCAGCTCTATAAATAAAAAAAATTGAATTTAATTTAACAATATATAATATACGTATCTATTTATTTGGAATAAAAATCGCTGGACGAGCATCGTCTTGATGAAAAATAACTTTAAAAAAAGTACATGGTCCTATGAACCTGAAAGTAAGGAAAAACACTTTCTGAAGATACTGGAAATTTTGAAAGTTTGGAAAATTTGAAAATTTTTGAAAATTTTCTGAAAATTTTGGAAAATTTAATCTAAATTGATTTATAATATTCAAAAAGAAAAAATAATTACTAAAGAAAGTAGATTTACTCTTTTCGTCAAGTTTGTACAAAGAGTCTTCTCGTTGAACATATAGGTGTAAAGGAACGAAAACATCACATTACAAATTAAAAATTAACACTTTAAAATATCGGAAGATCTTTGGTTTTTACTGGAACTCTATGCAAAGGCTGCGTCTTTCAAAATTAACAATCACATCGAAAGATATTTTTTAAAGTTTAAATTAAAATTTCTTTAAATTATGTGGAAGACCATCATGGTGATGTGCAACCATTTTGTGTGTTTGGTACACGTTTTTAATTGTGGTTTCCGTTTAGAGTGACACATGACAAGTAAGTCAGTGTAGCTGACAAGAGCGGGAAGTTCGAAAAATAAAAATTTATAAAATCCAAAACCATTACCAACGTTTTTTTAAATCAATATTTGGAGATTTAAGATATTTATAGTAAAAAACAACATCGCTAAGTGGTGTGACCTGTAGTGTAGATGACGAGCTAGTCGTCCACAATGTGTAGACTACCCTTATATCATCATAGAGTGGAAATAGGATATATGAGTTTAAGTTGAAAATTGATGAAAAATTTTTAAGTAAAATAAATGAATAAATTGGTTTAATTAAGATCATCTATTGGTTTCTTGATTTAATTCAAAAGAGGTCTGTGTAAGGGGATGTAAGATCTATTAAGGTTCACCTGAGTGTTGAGACAAGAGAAGTTGTCCTGAAGTTCGTTTCTGATTTCAATGTCCTCCATAAAATCCAAACGGTTGAAGTTTTTAGAGCGAATTTCGTGAAGAATTTTCGAATTTGACCTGGGGCTGAAATTATGCTTAGTTGTCCTAATGTGTTCACCAAAGGCAGAGGTAGTTTTAGTAAGATGTTCCTGTATTCGAATCTTGAGAGGTCTGCAAGTTCGCGTTTTCAAGTTACGTAAGGTCTATGGTCTCCATAATATCGTATCTGGCCGACCTTAGTGGGACACCCTGTACAAAAACATTTTTTTTACTTACTGTCTCGTCTGAACAGAGACGCTTTCGGGTGCTCTTGGAACACTTCACACCCGTCAGTGACTCATCATACTCCAAGCGTTTTGCACTCGAACGCTTGAAACCGAACGGATCAAACTGTAGCCGGAGTACTTCGGAGTAACTCGGGAGCGCTCAACGGATGGCACCCGAAAGCAGTTCTGAACTTTGGAAGGAGAGGAATTGGCATGACAGTGGGCAGCGAGCGTGCGCTGAAGCAATTAGAGATGCCACGAATAGTGATTTGGCCGAATACCGAATATTCGGCCACGCTCTCGTTTGCAGCACCGAATATTCTGCCGCCGAATATTCGGCGGCAGATCTGTGGGTTTTGTGCAGACCAGTCTCATTCTTATCGCGTCGTCCCCGGTAACGACGGAATTTGGTTCACTTGAGAATATATAGTGTCACAATACGCAATTTTACGCATTATTAGCTATATTCTTTTGATCGCACATTATTACTTACACTACTGGTTATCAGTTTATCTTTAGCAAAAGTTATCAAAATAGCACCAGTAATTAATGAAAAGTCGCCTAACTATTTAATAGATTTTAAGTATTAGATTCATTGTGACTTGTTATTAAATAGATAAATTTTTGAGTATTATGTGCGTTTTTTCTCATTATTCAGCTTTCGGTAGTTGGCCAAATATTCGGCCGAATATCGAATACAAAAAAAAATGGCCGAATAGGCCGAATGCCGAATAGTAGCCGAATATTCGTGGCATCTCTAGTAGCAATTATCGCATGGCAAAGTTGCTTTGGCTTAGGTATGCGCTGTTGTCGGATTGTAGACATCTTTTTTAAATTTTAACTGATTTTTTTATTTTAAATCTTAAAATTTGTATTAATTTTCTAGAAGACTCACGCCCCCCTTAATGTTGCTTCACGCCCCCCCAGGGGGGCGCGCTCCCCAGTTTGGGAACCGCTGCTTTACACCTATATGTTCAACGAGAAGACTCTTTGTACAAACCTGACGAAGTGAGTAAATCTACCTTCTTAAGTAATTATTTTCTTTCTTTTTGAATATTTTAAATCAATTTAGATTAAATTTTCCAAAATTTTCAGAAAATTTTCAAAAATTTTCAAGTTTTCCAAAATTTCCAAACTTTCAAAATTTCCAGTATCTTCAGAAAGTGTTTTTCCTTACTTTCAGGTTGCACTGATGATCGCCATGGCCGAAAGCGCTTTGCACTGATATTTATTAAAGAATTTTGCACGAAATACAAACCTTTTTTCATTCTTCATTACTCCTCAACGTGCACACAGCTCTACACCCTCTATTTAATTTCTATGCTTCTAGGCAAATCCAGCGGGTTAACACCTGTCGAGGTGGTAGAAGTTTAATTTCTATGCTGCTTGGCAACCCCAGCGGTAGCAAAAGTACTTTTAATGCCGCTCGTACTTTTACTGCCGCTCAACCATCCACTTGCCCCCGAGCTTACCCTATCAGTTTGGAGAAAAAATAGCATGTTGCATATACGGAGTAGAAGCACTTTTTTGTGCTTCAACAGTATTGCAAGCCTCACTACGTAAAGCTTCTACTCCTAATATAACAATATACTATTCTTATTGTCCACTCTATCACTATGTTCAGGAAACGCGAAACTTTAACTTCTATTTTAACTTCACCCTCCTTCTTAGGCCAAGCAATGAAGGAAGTTTACCTCAACATAATTAGAAGTTAAGATTTTTTGGGGGGGATTGGTCCATTTTCATGTGCTTAATAACATAGGTATTAAGTTTGCGATCTTGTACTTCCGTAGGGTTTTTAGTTAGGGGTGGATTTTAGGGGTAATTTGCGGTTTATGGAGAACGCTGCTCAAAGAGATGGTCCAATAGCAAAAAGTTTCAAATGATTGTTGTAGCTGAAGTTTTTTGCTATAAAAAACTTAGCGACAGCACCCTTCTATCTTCTATGTTTTGTTTTCTGCAGCGTCTTGAACACCACATTTTTGCTGATGAAATGCGCTCTCGAATGCTTTTTGTTCGATTTTCTTGCTTGAAAATTGAGCGAGCTGACCTGCCTAATGTGCGAGGAAGTTGTAAATTGCATCGAAAACTACCCGTTTCTTGCATTCACTGTAATTTCTAAACGGGGCCAAATATTTGGTGACAGTTTTCGACAATCGGCAGCCCATTTATTCCTCTCATAATGCCCCAGCGGACTTTTTTTTCGTTAATTACTCAATGACTTATTGGCCTGAACACGTCGCGCGGAATTTTACAAAAAGTCAAAAAAAATAAAATTATCGCTCAGCGCTGAAATATGGTACGATGGCTTTATTTATTGTTCTCATGAATATACTGCAATTCTAATTGTTGCAGCAGTCATATGAAGCAATTGAAATTGCAGTATATTCATAAGAACAATAAATAAAGCCATCGTACCAAATTTCAGCGCTGTGCGACAATTTTTTTTTTTTACTTTTTGAAAAATTCCGCGCGACGTGTTCAGGCCAATAAGTCATTGAGTGATTAACGAAAGAAAAAATCCGCTGGGGGATTATGAGAGGAATAAATGGGCTGTCGATTGTCGAAAACTGTCACCAAATATTTGGCCCCGTTTCGATATTACAGTGAATGCAAGAAAGGGGTAGTTTTCGATGCAATTTACAACTTCCTCGCACATTAGGCAAGTCCGTGCTCGCTTAATTTTCAAGCAAAAAATTCGAACAAAAAAGCATTGGAGAGTGCATTTCATTAGCAATAATGTAGTGTTTGAAAAATTGGAACCGGATTATGCATTCGGCCGCTGCTGCATCAAATGCGCGCAAACAGGCGAAACGTTGATTCAGTGACCTTGAACAAAAACATGCTACTATTCAAGACGCTACAGAAAAAAAAAACAAAGAAGATAAAGGGGTGCTGTCGCGGAGTTATATATAGCAAAAAACTTCAGCTACAACAATCATTGGAAACTTTTTGTTATTGGACCATCCCTTTGAGCAGCGTTCTCCATAAACCGCAAATTACCCCTAAAAACCACCCCTAACTAAAAACCCTATGGAAGTACAAGGACGCAAACT